GACCTCCGACATTAATAACACGCTACCTTGCATGTTTTCATCAAACAACAATAAATGCAGTTTCGGAGAATAGTGATCGGGCACGGTTTATAAATGGATTGTATGGCACGTGGACCAGATGTGACGAATGCGAGTTACCCGAATCGCGGTTCGGGTGGTTTCATATGAACATTGCCACAATTTTACATAGTTGTTAATTGGACAGCAATGATAACATTTCAAGTCACACAAATCACATGTTTTCGAAACACTCAGTGATTAGTAAGTCAAAACACCAATCTACCCACCTGAATCTATTTCGCAAATACGGAGCTACATACTATACTGCCAGCCAGTCTCAAAATACATACAAGGGGTGTATAAAGGTTGTGTATAAAACCTGTATAAAACACAGGGCTTATAAAATGTGTAGAAAACCGATAGGGACATAGCTTGTATGTATAAAACCAAGGACGAATTAGATTTGCCAACCGCCCTAATTTTTTTTTATTCATCATCAAAACATGAAAACATAACATTACAAGGATAGTGTCACGCTGCACTCAAGTTTACAACTTATATCAACAGCGCCACACAATTTTCAGGGCGCCTTGGTAGCAAGGGTGAGTTACAAGACAAGTCGAAGTGTATTGTACAACGATTGTACATGTAACCATGGAGTTAAAAGATACTCTTTTCTAGCTCCATGATGTAACAGGTAAAATGTATGGAAGATGATAAGACTACTAGCTGGTATGAATCTTTCGACACTACATATAAGTTCAACGGGTACTATGACAGACCGTTGAAAACGACTGACAAAAACTAGTACCTCTAAACGTACGTTATAAGCTACGATAAACAGCATTTACATGACATTATGTGCGGCATTCTTTGCAAATAAACGTTGTGATAGATGCATTACACAGCTTTGGAGTTAGAGACTACCATTAGTACCATACATTTGTGGATGCGACTGTTACAAATGTAAATGTTGTCACTTCATTGTCATGGCCAAGTTATCAAAACAAAAGACAAAGTGGCCCACTGCAGTCGTGCAAGCCTATTCTTTTCAGTCCGAGCTTGTATGCAAATCACCAGCATTGTACCGGCAAAGATCAGAAGATATTACTAGTGCATTGTGCTTCGCAACTTGTGCGCAAATCCTTGTCTGTTTTCTTTACATTTGAATAGTTATCTACTGGTTCAAACAAACTCCATCTTAAAAAAAACATGTCCATTGCATTTGCTTCTAAACAGGAATTTTGAATAGCATTTGTAAAAATAACTGCACTTATGTGTAAAATATGCATTTCTGCAAATACTTATAAACAAACACGTACTATGGACATTTTCGGTGGTCGGTGTGTTAGAGAAAATCATTGAGAGTTTTGATCCCCCCCCCAAAAAAAAAATTAATAAAAGCTTTTTTTTTTTAATCTATGTAGAACTAACGCCGCCCAAGCTAGTTCCTGTAGCTACCAGACTCCAAAACGTTGCTGAAAAATAGTCAACATTAAACAAAAAGACCGTGTAATATGCCGGATGCAGAGGAGTTCAGAAGACCGTTGTTAGAAAATGTAGCTTGAAAATTGTGCACAATGGCCCAAAAGACTGAAGAATATGCGTTAGGCTCCAGATAGACTATACAATGCATACAGTGTAACATACAGTAAATTGTATTCTAGAGGTATATCATATACATGTAAGTGCTCACCAGCTTCCAAAGCAGCTTTAACTCCTTGAAGTGAGCCGATCTGAGCAGCTTGAACTAGAGCTTTACTTGTCTTTTCCGCCATTTTGTTCGGATTACTTCACAGTGGTTACTTGCGCGAATGCTGTCTGAATTCGAACTGAAAACTCAAACGCCTCAGTAGTTGTCTTGTCACGTGACTTCCCACAATCCTTTGTTGACCCCTGACCTTCAATCCCAAAACATTAATATCTAAGTTCAAGAAACTAATCTCTAAGCAGATCATACTGTGGCAAACAGTATCCATTGACGAGGAGTGCCCCTTAGACTTATAATCTGCTCGGAGATTATTAGTACTAAGTATTTTCTTGAACTCTTGAAGATTTTGGAATTGAAGGCCAGGGGTCAACAAAGGATTATGGGAAGTGTTGAGTACATCAAGTCACGTGACAAGACAACTACTGCCCATGACTGAGGCTTTTGGTTCTTCAGTTGGAATTCAGACAGCAGCGGCGAAAGGTGTCCACAACAACAGCGATCCTGACAAAATGGCGGAAACGGCGAATGGAGCTCTGTTGACTGCTGCTGAGAACGGCTCACTTCGAGGTGTTAGAGAGGCTTTGGAAGCTGGTAAGCACCTAGTTGTAGACTACAAGGCCATCTTTGTTACATTTATGTATTGTACCCTCTTACGGGCTAACTATACTGACATTCAGAACATTTAGTCACTTTCTACAGTATATATTTCAAGCAACACGGGGGTGATCGAGTCCAGTAGATACGCACTAGCTTTATACAACAAGGTGTCGAACAAAGTTGCAAAAATTTGGGTTCTAAATTCATGACATTTAAATTTGCTGGGTGGAGTTTTTGTGATCTAAAAAAAGCTGAGTAAGGCGATAACCTGTCACTAAGCACGACGTACAATAATTTTACTTATCTTTTGCTCTTACTAGTACGCTCTACATCCTTAGTCACCACCATTTTATTATAATTACATGCTGTCTGTTGTGCAGACAATTTACATATACTGAAAATGAGAGTCTAGCATGACTGCAGGGGGTCACTATGTCTTTTGTTCTAGTTAACTCCGCACTACAATAAGCAAACTGTCGACAAAGAACTGTCACAAGACAGGATAGTTCACACAAACGCAACATTGAAAACGTAGAAAAAAACGCAATCCTTTGTAGCAACAAATTTGCGAGTGGCATTGATTTGTTGTTGGTTGCACATTAAAGAAATAGTCTGAGAGAACAGCAATTAGAAAACAAGTCCATAATTGCATACACAATAAGTTTCCTAGTATTGTGCCCACGTTGAGAAATACATCTTGTTTACTGTAAGGCCAGGTTGATTTGATTATATGGATGACATCCGCGCGCGCATGAATTTTCGGCCGTTTCAAAAAAAAAGTTTCCAACCACACTGTAAATTGTACAAAACAGTTGCAAAATGAGCAAATATATACCGAAAGTTGCAAAAAAATATTTGAAAACGATTCCAACGTCGTAGAATGCCAAAATCAAACAAAAAACTAAAATGCAAAGAAATGAATTTAAAGAGTAGATTATTTGCCATACCATACCCTGTGTCATTTGTTCGACCTTCATAACAACGTAGATTTCATGAAAGCAACTTTTTTTTTCAAAACTTTTTTTTTATTCGCGCGCTCGCATCAGTTTTGGGGTTCCCAGAGGATGTTATCCATATAATCAAATCAACATGGCCTAATTTTTTTTTAATAATCGCCAAACGCAGGTGCAGACATTGACTATGTCCAGCCCGGCAGCCTTATAGATGGCAAGGATACGGCACTGCTCATGGCGTCCTTCTTCGGGTATGTAGATGTGGTGAAACTGCTGCTCCGCAAGGGGGCGTCTTTAACAAAGAGAGACGCTGTTGCATCGTCTGCTCCCCTTCATTGTGCAGCGAGAGAAGGTAGGCAGTCCATTTAAAACCTAGGTATAAATGTGCTAAAGGTAGTACATGTTTTTGTCATGTACTATAGTATAAACAAAAAGAAGTTGTAGACATCACCCCTCCATTTAATAGTTTGTTGTTTTGCTATCTCCATGTGTGCGTTTTGTTTATTTTGAATTTGGTTTTTGGTTTGTTTGAATTTTTGTTTATTTGTGAATTAGTTTTTGTTTCCACAATGCCACATGTCTTGAATGATTTTGCTTTGGCACTTTGAAACGGAAGAGCCGGGCATGGAAAATATTTGTTACGGGGTGTTCTGGCAACACATGCATTTCAGACATCGGACTCCATCTCCTGCTAATGACCCAATCAGTGTACTGTGGTCTGGCGTTTCCATGTGATATGTACAGCGCGTTACTACGTTAACCCTAAACAGTACACCTGGGGTCCGCGCGGACCCCAGCACTATATATTCTGTAATATCTTTTTTGTTTCTAAAGATTTTTTTCTGAAATTTTAGGTAATTGTCACCCACAAAGTTGTCTCTCAATACAGTGCAGAAAACTCCGTTTCTACCATTTATAAAAAAAAATCATATCTGATTTTCTTTTGGGGTCCGCGCGGACCCCAGCCGGCTTTCGATCATAATTGATACACTGGCGTTCTTATACATTACCTTAGTTCCTTTTTTATATGTTTTTATGCACTCATCGTATGTCTACCAAGTTTCCAGAGAATGGTGTAGTAATAGAATTAAATTTTAATAACTTTGGTGCAATTTTGACGTCATATGACATCAGAGCTAATAATATAGTCCGCCATATTGGATTTTGACCAATGACGTCATCAAATTAGCATATTCTATGCATTTTAAATGATGTAACTTATATTTAATTATGTAAGATGTTATCAATGTTGGAAAAGAAGTGTAATTTATTATAAAACTCAGAAAATTTTTATGTTTAAACCAAAATTACTTCTATTTTCAAAAAAACTGCCTGCTAGAAACCCGTTGCCATGGCAACACAAAAAAACATCAACTTACTAGTATTAAACTAATATGAACTTTTTCCCAGAGACATTTTAGGAAAGGTCTCCAAATTTGATACTTCTAGCGCAAGCCGTTTAGCCGCTATATGAGATCAAAGTTGGGCCTCAAAAGCCCCTTCAGTCTGAAATGGGTTTAAAAATCGGGTATTTCTTCTTGTCTTCTTTTCTTCACAAAAAAATAGAAAAAGTTCAAAATGTATGATTTTTGTATGCAATGTGGACACAGAGGTTCCCACATCAGTTTGCAAAACAATTGAGCTGGTAGCATGTTGATAATTCTAAAAATTAGCAAAAAACTGTTCTGGGGTCCGCGCGGACCCCAGGTGTACAGATTAATCAGTCCGGGAAGGTGTACTGTTGAGGGTTAAAGATATGTTACTTGCAGGCTGCACACATTTAAAGTTAACACAACACAGACTCCACCACCAGGGTGTAAAATGAACAGTGACTAC